GGCATTATGGAGCAGGAGGTGTCACCACACATGGCTCCTCCCATCAACGTTGAAGGCACCATTGAAGTGACCTCGGTAATGTGGCCTGGGAGAAAGCCTAAGGGCTTTAAGTGTGCTGAGAGTGTACAGAGGCTTTCCTGTGAATTTCCAGGTTTAGGACTCAAACCTCCAGGTTTAGGACTCAAATCAGGTCATGTAGGATACAGTCACCTTAGCCATACCACTAAATTAATTTAAAATTGACAAAAACCTATTAGTCACCACAACTGTAGAACCCAAGGTGACTAAATCATTCATTCAATTCAGGTAGGATGATCATAAAACAGCAGGTATGACCTGATTAGGCTTACCACAACCAGCAGCTCCTTTGCAGGAACACTTTTCCACATCAATCAAACTGGAGAGCTAAATGGGGAGGTGGGAGAACCAATGGCCCAGGCATCTCTCAAGTCCAACTGTGGACATCTCTATAATTCTCAGAAAAAGGGGGAGCTGCATTTTAATGAAAACTTTCACAGGGACAGGAAGCCATACTTCCCCCTAGCCCATTATTGCCCTAGGAGCTATTGCTCCATGGACAGGGAGCCCAGGGGGCATTAACTGAAAACAAGTCCTGACAAGATCCAGTATCTGTAATCTCAGATTATGGTTGATAAGGGCTTTGCACATAAAATGAAATCTGGAGTGAACCAATGAATGACAAAGTGAATTCTACAAAATATTCACTCATGTTCCTATAAAGTGGACAACTAACCACTGGATGGTTGAAAGTTTCCATTGGGGCTGTAGTCACACTGAGAAACAAAGACTAAATTCAGGGACATAAGGATCAAGGTGGGCCCATAAATACTAGACCAGGGGATGAGTCCACAACCACATTCCATTAATTCCCAAAGACCTGAACATTGCCCTTCATCTAGGTTATAGGTACAAGGGGCTTCATGGGGTGTACCTGTGGGAATCTAGTACCACAGCTTCCCCTTCCTTTGAGGGGCTCTGAGCTTGCCCTGAGTCAGGTCTGCACATGGGCTGCCCCTCCTCAACAAAGTGGCTTAAGGAGGCTTAGATGCAACACATCTAGAAATATTTTCATTTAAAAAACTCAGTTGAGGTTTTAATAGGCTGTTCAACCATTTTATCCATAAAAAAAAGTGATGAATGAAACACAGGTGAACATCTACTGGTCACTTTATTCATTTATTGAATATCATAGCATTTACCCTGACCGTAGTTGTGCCAAATACAATTTGAAATGTGTGATATGTTAATGAAAAAGAAAATACTAAAAAAAACCTAGATTGTGGAGTTTATATATAATCATGGACAAGAAGAAACATAGGTAAATAAGAAATATAACATATTCTCTAGGTGACAAGAAATGGGAAATGCTATTTAAAAAATAAACTATAACAGGCAGTGTATGAGGGATCCAAAGTTGAGAGCAAAATGTAACTTTAAACCACAGCATCAACATGCTGGCCCTACTGCCTCTTAAGTCAAATGCTTTACCTTTGATGGTTAGTTTGGGCCATTTCTAGGCTCTGCTGTCATGAATTGAACCCCTTGCCACGAAAAACAAGTAATTTCAATTTAATAGATTAGTTTCTATTTTTTTTTTTTGGCCAGGTTGTGTGTGCTTGCTGGAGAGAGACAGAGACTGAGAGAGGGAAAATAAGAAATCATCCCCCAGCGGGCATGGCCTTACTGCAATCCCCTCTCAGGAATTCTGGCATACACACATGTGCCTGGTGTATTTTCAAGCTGCCGAATCCAGGACTAGAACTGCAGTCAGTTATGTGGGAGTCCAGTGACTTAAACACAATGGTAATTGCTGGTCCCTAGCAGAGTCTTTTCTAAGAATCTTTTTTTTTTCCTCATTTACCTAGGCAGTGTTAGCATGCTTCTGAATGGATAAGGCAATCCTTCAAAGTGAGCTCTCGGGTCTTTGTGGAACTATGTGGTATCTTAACTGAATTTACCATGGAGTTGTATCTAAATATTGCTATACTTACTAAGCTAAGCTTTCAGTTCAATCGGGCTATTTATTACTCATAGAATGCTCATTAACAGGAAACAAAATTCTTTTATAACACATTTGAGACTGGGCTCATAGAAATTGCTCTCCAAACGTAGCATGACTGAATACTCCCCACTATGACAACATCAACAATGTCATATTTTTTGGGACTGTATCCATCAGGAAGTTTCAGAGAATCCAAAGTGAAGAAGACAGTATTGTCTACCACCCCATTTCTTCCATATAGGCTGGTGATGCAGACCTACAATGACAAATGATAGAAATGACTATCATCACAAGCATACTGCCCTGGGACAGGCTTAACACCTCCTCTCTGAGGCTCTAACCTGTGGGTCACTGAATTGCCATCATGGATTTCCAGCCTTGCGAGCACAATGTCAACACTAGAAGTGCTTAGTAAACATGCCTGTGACCAAACTCTACCTCGTACCAATCAAAATCAGAGCCTCTGGGGATGGGTCCCAGATCTCCAATCAGGAAGTTTGCTCTGAATATTATCCACAATGACCATTAATTTCTATTTCACTTACTTTCCTACTCATTTTCAGGTTTTACTACCCAAAGCGCACTCAGTTTTACAGGTAATTTCAAGTTCCATTTTGTATTCCATTCAGGTTATCCCTAACCATCTCTTGCACACTAACTGTTTTCCTTCCTGTTGTTCCCAGAACATCCTAGTAACATAACACTATTCTACCAAACGATCTACATAGTGTAGAACTTTATTTTATATACATTGCCTCCATAATTTTCTATTTTATTTTAGAGGACCCATCTCTCCTATTTTTTTAATTAAATTTGTCAGAGGGTATGTGTACTTGCATCAAAGAGACAGAGAGAGAGGGGACGTGAGAAAGCACCCTCAATGGGTAATGGTCACACCACATTCCAATCTCCTCTATTTTCCTCTCCTTTTGGGATTTTTCACATGCATGCACATGTGCCCAGAGTTTCTCTAGAACCACTTGGTCTGGGACTCAAAACTGTGCCCTCGGCTATGTGGGATCCAATTGCCTTAACCACCAACATTCTATGGGCTGGCTTATCCTAACTTTTTTCAATGAGAAAATTGTCTCCTCTTTGCAAACAGTTATTTCCTGAATTTCACAGCACATCAAATGGAACTCTAGGAACAAATATTATTATTAAAGGAAAGATTGGAAGATACAAATGGTTAAGTGCAATATAGAAACATCTTACCTCCTCCAGACACCTACAGAACAAGGGCTTTGCTGAGTGCACCTTGATGTTGCACGGGCCGGGAAGGCTGAGGTACTCAACTTCTACCCAGTCACCCTTATAAGGCTTAAAATCTGAAACAGTCATGAAAAAAAAATGGTAATGCGATTATATGTTACCTTAGGTCCAGTTAAATTGCAGAAAGAATGTGGATGTCATAATACCCTAAAATGGTTCCATTAGATTTAATGTACACTTTGTACATGCTTATACACACACACCTTATAAATTATCTGTCAGAAGGGAAGTTTATAATCCTTGAGGCACTGATTCTCCTCTACTGATTATCCAAAGTCAAATGGGATGCATTGCATTGCATGATAGCTAATGTTTTGGGAAGCAACACAGGATGTGTTCAGCACTTGCTAATGCTCGGAGCTCCTCTGGACTAATAGTCAAGTCCAAAGTAAGACATAAGGGTTTGAACATAGCCTCTTGTGTTCAAATCATGCATCTGCCACTTTCTCAGTCTGCCACCTTAGTCGCAGTGATTAACCTGTTAGTGCCTATTTTCTTCATTTATAACACAAGAACAACCATAATAGTCCTCTTAACATAGAGCTGATGTGATAGTTAATTGATATGTTAAAAACTTATGGTTGGGGCCAGCAGGTGGCATAATGGTTAAGGCAGCTGGATTCCCACGTGGCTAACTGTGTAAGTCTCAGACCTGGTGGCTTGAAAGTCATGCCAGCCATGTGTGCGTGTGTGCCCAAAATCCAGGGAGGAGAATGAAGAAGGGACTGTGGCATGGACATCTCTCCTGGGCAGGAGGGGGGGTGATTTCTCAATTTCTCTCTATCTTTCTCTGTCTCTCTCCCCTCCAATGGGTGCACAGCAAAACCTAAAAATCAAACAAACATACAAATAAACAAACAAAACTTGTGGTATAGTCCAGCAAGTGGCATGGAGTTTAAAGTGCTGGATACCACATGGCCTCCTTTGCAGTTCCTGGAGCTGGTGCCTTGAATATCACACTGTGTGTACGTACTTGCATTCTCAAAGTCCCAAGAGAACAATGGAGGAGAAGGAATTGTGGTGTGGCCATCCTCTTTGAGGGTGATTTCTCACTTTTCCCCTCTCTCTTAGTCTCTCTCTAGTGAGTGATTGTGTCCTCTGGCGAAAAGAAAAACAAAAAACAAAACAAAACAAAATGAAGCTCATGGAATAATGCCTGGCATATAATAACCAAGAAATAATGTTGATTACTAATTATGTTGAAAATAGCACTAGGACATACAAGGTGACATTTAAATTTGGGGAAAAATAGAATTAAAATAGGAGTGTATTTTGGTGGAAAAAAAATTGAAATTCATGTTTATTGTTTCCATTAGACACATTGTCAAGGAAGCCTTTGAAGACCCCTAGGATTACTTTAAGAATGAATCAGTTTTCACAGGCTGTCTGGGAAACAGATGAAATCTTTTTAAAAATAATTATTTACTTAATTTCATTTATTATTTTTTTAATTCACAAGAGAAAGATATATATACACAGAGAGATGGCGGGAAATCAAGCCACTAGGTCTGGGACTTAAACCTTAATCGACCATGTGGGAGTACAACATCTTAACCAACACACCACTTGCTGGTGCCCAGTGATGAACTCTTAATATAATAGATATCTTACATATAAGGTAAAAAAAAATGTAGCTCCAAACAGAATTTTAGTAATAAGTAAAAAGTAAATCATGGGATAATAAAGTACCTGGAAATATATGGAACCACTGGAAATATCAAACATGGAAGGTGGAGTGTGGTTAAAAGCTACAACCACTCCTGAAAAGTGGCAGCATTTACAAAGCTAAACATTTCTTTACCCTATGACCTAGCACTACAGGACTATAGAAGACACTGGGTTGGACCTCTTCCCTCCCTGTGTTAACCCTTATACATTTCTTTGGTGTGGCTATACAGAATATCTCTAGGCAGACCTCAGATTCAACTGTCCACGTGTCTATGGAATCACATCATATTAAAAGCCAGTTTATTGTTCTACCTAGCACTCACAACATTCTCCTAATTGCAGTCTGCCACAGCTCAAATTGGCAACTTCTCTTTATCATGATCTAACCAAAATTTGGCAGTTATCTTTGACTCCCTTTCTTTTACACCAATGGTCCATGCTATCAGCCAATGCTTTTATGTCTAACTTCACAATATGACCAGAATTAAATCCATCCTTAGAGCCTCATTTTGTCTAATGTCATGCACGTCTCCATCAATTTGATCAGGAGTGGTAAAAATTCTCCTAACCGATTTTTTCACTCCGCACTTGCCTTACACAATCTCTTCTCAACAGAGTGGACATCTTAAAACAAAATCTAGGTCAAGAAAAGAAAAACTTCAAGCTGTCTGGAAGGGCTGAGCAAGCCTTCCAACAGCAGCATCAGGCTCAAATAGCATGAACAAAGTATGGCTGTGGGTACAAACACAATCTTAGAACAAATTTGCTGATTAAAAATAAACTTCAACATTGGACAGATAGGCGGACACACACACACACAAGCACACACTTAATGCTACAAGGTACATCAAAACTTATTTAGGGTTTTGGGGACCTGCAGTTAGCGTAATGACTATGTCACTGCACTCCCACGTAGTTGACCGCAGTTCAAGTCCTGGACCCGGTGGCTGAAACTCACGCCAGGCGTGTGTGCGTGCGTGTCCAAGATCCCGAGAGGAGAATGGAGAAGGGATTGAGGTGTGGCCACCTCCCCGGGGGGGGATTTCTCGCTTTCTGTCTGTCTCTGTCTGGCGAGTGCATGCGCCCTATGGCAAAAACCTCTCAAAAAAAAAATCTTATTTAGGATTTTAAGTTTGTTGAAAATGTTTTATCTTGTACACTTTTAGGATTTTACATTGATTTTTTTAAAGAGGTTTTTGCTATAGGGCGCATGCACTCACCAGACAGAGACAGAGAAACAGAAAGTGAGAAATCACCCCCCAGGGGGGATAGTCACGCCGCAATCCCTTCTCCTCCATTCTCCTCTTGGGATCTTGGGCACGCACGCACGTGCGTGCGCCCGGCGTGAGTTTTAAGCCACTGGGTCCGGGACTCGAACTGCAGTCGACTACGAGGGAGTCCAGCGACATAGCCATTACAATACTGCTGGCCCCAAGATTTTACATTGATTTTGAAATGCAATACTTGTATGAATGAAAATTTACTCAGGTATTCCTGACTGCACTCACCCATAACACATGATAGCAACATATTTTATAAATTTTTCTGTTTGTCGCTTTATTATAGATTATTTTCAATGTCCAGGACCCACCTCCCATACTGAAACCACTGACTATAGCCACATACATGCAGAAATACGTATACCATGAAAAACAATTTAAAAATGCATTATATTTTCTGATAAATGTAAATCATACCTTCAGAAACAACATCTAGGGAGAAATAGGTCTCCTCATCAATGCAGACAATATCTGCACTCACAGAGGTAACACGAGCAGTTGTAAGTCTGGTTCCAACATCGGATGGGCCAGAGTCATCAATATCCTCAGAGAGAACATCCACCTGTGAGATAAGGACACAGTTACTTCCAAGAAAAAAGGTAAAAATGCACTTTTATATGTTTAAACCATTGGTGTTCACAGATTACTTTAAATGACCATTCTGAACTACAGTGAACATATTTCATGTGAGAAATCAATCATAAATATAAGATGATGATAAAAATAATTCCCGTACTTTATGTATAGTTAAAATGTTCCAGACGTCCAGCCAGGTGACATGGTGATTAAGGCAGCTAGAACCCACTTGGCCTACTGGATAGGTCCACTCACGGACCAGTAGGTTTGACAAACACACCAGGCATGTATATGTGCTCCAAAATGGGCAAAGAGAGTGGAAGAGAAGGGGTTGCAGCATTGCCACTTCCCCTTGGTGGGGTGATTTCTCACTTTTCTTCATTCTCTCCATCTCTGTCTCTCTATTGTGAGGACACATGCCCTGGAGCAAGACTGAAAAATAATAAAAATATGTGCCCCAGAAAACCTGACTCACTTACCCACATTTGATGGACTCATACAGTGGCACTCAAAGATAAAGATTTTGTCATGCTTCCGTTCTAAGAATTTACAACTTTATAATGGTAAAATTGAAAAATATCTACTGTTAAACAATCTGTGACTGAGGGTATGAAACAAGTTCAGAAACAGTTTCTGAGAAATCTCAACAATAAGAACATTTCAGACTGAGAAAAAAAAAAGATGCATCACTTGGAAGAACTAAGATTTGAGCTGGTTTGTGAAAGGAGAGAAATATTTTGCCTGGCAAATGGAGGTGGAGTGGGGGCAGGGGAGGGAGACAGAGAGAAAAAACAGCCAGAAGCCAGGGGGAATAGTGAGCAAAGCCATAACGTTCAAGATCCAAGCAAAGGAAAGAATCAAGGGAAAAGTTGGAAAAATAACCTCAAATGAGGAAGGCTTCAAAAATCCAAGTCAAAATATAGCTGTGAGGGACCAGCAGTTAGCATAATGGCTATGTCGCTGGACTCCCATGTAGTCGACTGCGGTTCACATCCTGGACCCGGTGGCTTAAACTCACGCCGGGCGCGTGTGCGTGCGTGCCCAAGATCCCGAGAGGAGAATGGAGGAGAAGGGATTGCGGCGTGGCCATCCCCCCCGAGGGGTGATTTCTCGCTTTCTGTCTCTCTGTCTATCTCTCTGCCTGGCGAGCGCACACGCAATATAGCAAAAACCTCTAAAAAAATATAGCTGTGAATTTAAGGTTTATGCAGAAAAGATGTAATTATATTAAATGCAGAATAAGATACTACAGAAAGAAGAAAAAGAGGTTGGCAGGCTGTCTATCAGTTACTTCCTATTGTCTGCATGGCTGACCTCAAACACAATTTTATTATTTATTTATTTTTTATTTTTTATTTACATTTAATTACTGTACATCTTTACCATGTACAACATGGTCTCAGCATGAATACAATGCACATTAGTCAAGTCAGGGACATCACCATATACATTATCATCACAATTTTCTCATGATCAACACTTGTAGCAGTCCCCTGAAATGCTGAGCACACACCTTCCTGACACCAACAAGATGAGATCATTATCCTTCTGCTAGTAAACTGCTTCAGGTATCTTCTGTTTTTACCCAATCTTGTCCTACCTTCCATTTCCCCAGACCTACCTCTGCAACCTTTAGCCAATATGAACTCTTTCCAAATTACTTACTTATCAGTCCTATTGTTTGTTGCTGTTAAAAGCAATCCTTACATGCAGTGGTTGGTTTGTCATTTCTTTCAGTGCCTGCTGCAGCTACTGGGATCTGGGTGCATGCCTCGCAGTCTGACCCTTATGCTGTGCTAGCTATGTTAGACTAATAAATTTCTCTTTATTGTTTTTTTTTTAGATTTTTTTATTTAATTCTACTTACCATCACTATTATTTTTCAATTTGCTATAAGGCACGTGCGTCCACCAGAGACAGACAGAATGAGAGAGAGAGAAAGTGAGAAAGTAAGCCGCTAGGTTCGGGACTCAAATTGCGGTCAGCCACGTGTGAGTCCAGAGCCCCAACTTCCATACCACTCGCTGGCCCCCACTCTCTATAACCTTTACTTTGCACTTGTGCTCATTTTTTGACAAGTTTTAACAAAACTTCTTCTAATGAAATGCAGATACAAATTGAAGATATCTTTAACTCTCATATTTACAAAGATCTCAGATTTTTATGCTTGACACCATTTAAAAACAGGCAATTTCTCAGCCACTGAGAGAATCCTTCAGTAGAGTAAAGCTAAATTATACTTTGGTTAAAAAAAAAACCTACTGAAATAGTAAATATTTTGGTTGGGGACAATATTTACAGGATGCTGTGAACCTATAAAAGGTCATTTGAGAGAATTCTGTGGCATGTAAATTATACCTCCATAAGATATTCTGAAGATGGTTAAAATATACATTATGGATCCATCAATTCCACTACTATAAATGCATCCTCTAGAAAATGTTTACCTATGTGATAAAAGAAAGTCATTGGATTATATAGAGTTCAGTAAATATCATTGTCAGCCTTATTGTTTAGATACTAGAAGAACAAATATATAATTGTCTTTATTAAAATGGGTAATCACTACAAATATTGCCACAAAAGGAATTGCACTCTCAGGGAAGTGGAAGTTACAACTTCACTCTACATCTATTTCACAGATCACATCTGAAGGCAGAAATAACACAGGAAATGAAAAAGTGAAAATCCACTAGACCAAGAGACAATGCCCACACTCATACACGTCTTACTTTGATTACTTTCAATTCATGAGATGTTTCTCCTTCTTCCAGAACTGCTGTAACTTTCTGTCCCACTTTCAGAGGAATATTACCAGTGACAACATCACAACTGAAGTAGATTGACTGATCGATCAAGCCATAATCACTACAGATGCTGGTCACAACTCCTTGTGTAGTTTTCAAATTGGTGTCACCTATGAGATCATTAAACAAAGGTCATGCTAATAATCTGACATGCAAACACCCACTTCAAAAAGTCCTACCCTGACCACTTGGAGAACCCTGATCACATATATAAACTTCTGTGATCCAAAAAAGCTGAACTAGGACAATAACAATTTCTGCTCAGTAGGGTTGTTTTGACTACTGACTCATATATGAGCTATTTAGAACTGGGTGTCCCTTGCTAAATTACAGTGTAAAGCTTCGTTGTGATCACCATACCTGCGTACGGACAGTCTTCATGTTTTCACTATTTTCTACTGTCATAATTTCTACCAATGAAATGAATAGCAGAACCTGTAGATTCTCAAGTATCTCACCAGACAGAGCACAAAAAGATACTTAAAGATGTAAGTTTAACCCAAACCACGAATGTACTCTTCTCCTTTTTTTTCAATTTCTGCCTTAGAAATGTTGGTAACAAAAAGGATCTGAAAGAAGCAGTCTGCCGCACAATGGTCTCCTGCCCTCAGATACGTGACTTGTTCACTTGGCTTCAAATACTTGTTTGTTAGGGATACTAGACCAAATTAACCCTCAAATTAGGGAGATTTCTTCCTACTGGAAAGATTAAAAAGGCAAGGGTTGCACAAGGCATGTGGGGGGGATACAGGGGCAAAAGAGCCCTGGGGTTCCTTTCTGCTAATACTTTACCACTTTGGATCCAGGCGAAAGTTAAAGGCTTGGATCCATAGGAACCCAGCTCTCTAGTACTGAGGGACTGGAGATCTCTTCCCACACTCCCCCCCCCCAAAAAAAAAACAAATGGAAGATAGAGTCACCTCATCTGTGGTAAGACTACCTAACCTCGCTGACCCTTGATTAGGGGTGAGGAGGTCTCCTTGGGGAGGCTCTTTTCTTAAGAACTAACAGATACATCAAGGGCTACCTTGTGGGAGCTCTGCCTGCTGCGAGTGTAGCTCCTGGGTGGAGTCTGCCCTCCCCCGGAAGAAGTTCAAGGCCCACCGCAGAAGCCTGAGCATGGTGCCCTCGTCACCAAGGTGATGCCTGGGCCTTGCGTAAGAGAAGAAGCACGAGGCCTACTTATCAGGACTCTTCGGACCAGAGCTGCTGTTGAGGAACGATGTTCGACTTCTCTTCTTCAGGATTTGCCAGGTGGGACACAAGCAAAACTGAGCTTTCCTGAGGGAACCTCACAGGAGTACCCAGTATGCTTGTACCGGATCACGACACACAGCGCCCCACCTCGCAGCCAAGTTCTCGAAGCCAGGATAATGGCGCCTGCATCGCTGATGGGAGGAGCTGTGTGTCTCCACGCCCACTGCCTTCTATTGGCCCATGGAGCATACACACCCACTTACTGCATCTCCATTGGCTGATGGAAAGGGGGCGGGGCCTGCAGGAGCCCGTGTTTAGGGAGGAGCCCATGAAGAATAGATATATTGGAGTTCCTGGAGGTGGCACTAGCATGCTTGCTTTCCTGTAGCGAGTAGAGGATGATGGGTGTGGACACACAAGACTCCACCCATTAATGATGAAGGGCACCATTGGGGCAGCCTCAAGAAAGTAGCTTTGGAACTTGGGCTTTTTGTGTGCTGAGTAGGTATGGGGGCCTCTTGTGAGGAACCCCGTCAGGATGCAGAGTTCCAGCCCCTAGCCACATTCTCTAGGCCAAGATAATGGCCTCCGAGGTACTGATGGGAGGAGCTATTTATCTCCATACCCATTGCCTTCTATTGGTCCATGGAGCATGCACACTACCTGCTGCACCCCATTGGCTGATGGCAGGAGGGGCAGGTCCTGTAGAAGCCCATGTCCAAAGAGGAGCACATGAGTGATACTTTGTGGAGTTCTTGGTGCTGTTGCTGGAGTATTGGCTTTCCTGTGGCCAGTAGGGGACAATAGGTGTAGTAGACAAAAGTGGCTACTCCCATCAGTGCAGAGGGCAACATAGGAGTGGCCTCAGGAATGTCACACAGTATTTATGTGTGTTGAGGGACACAGGGGTTCTCCTGTGGAGTTCCCTCAAGGCTTCTCACTAGTGGTTTGGTCTCATGTGGATGCCTTGGCTGCTGTCCATGGTGGATCTGCCCCTCTGGGAAAAAGCAATGGCCCATTTCAGAAACCTGGACATAGTGACCTAGTCACTACAGGGTTGTACACTGTGTGGGAGAGAGGAAGCATGAGGCCTGCTCTGTGGTAACACACAAGGATCACAGTGGTCTGCTCAGAGACCAGCCTATTGAGTTTCTTCCTTAGCATCTGGGTGATGGGACTCAAGCACTAGTGAGCAGCCCTTAGGAGATACAGTATGCCAGTGCCACCCCAGGAGCTCATATGCTTGCCTCTCATACTCTTGCTCCTCTGCATAGGCTCCTGCCAGACCCACCCTGTGCCATCCTCTAGGCAAGCATGATTCAGGGGGTGAGTACTGGCTACATTAGGATATAGAGGGTGTGAACACACTTGTGTCCTCCCATCAACTTTGAAGGCACAATTAGGGTGGCCTGAGGAACTTGTGGGGGGCTCTGGTTTCTGTCTGTTGGGTGTGCACAGAGGCTCTCCTGTGAGGTTCCCTGGGAGGACCAGATGTCTGATTAGAACTTGTGACCTAAACCTGCTCC